GAAAGGTTTTTAAAGTCCCTCCCAAGCCAAACCATTCTGGGATTCAGGGCTGTGACGCTGTGAACAGAGTCCCAGGATCTCCCCCAGCCTTTGGGGTGAGGATGATGTGTGGAGCCCAGTGACTGGGATGGCAGGACAGGAACCTCCTGCTGAGGAGGTCTGTGGTCTGCAACATGTCCCTGGCCAGCTCTTCCTCTTGGTCTCCTGCCAGCATTCCCTGTCCCCAACGGCAAGGTGTCCCAGTGCCCCCCTCCTGGCAGTGTCTCCTCACAGCAGGATCTGCAGCCTTACCTGCCCTGGGGCTTCTCTGACTTGTGTGGGCTGGGACCCTGCCCTTGCAAATCCAGGTGCTCCTTTGAGATCTGGGTACTTGGACCTGGCTGGCTGAGCCCTGGGAGGAGCAGCCCAGGTGTGACTGGAGCCCAGGCTGACCCACTTCCTCGGATCCTCATCCCAGACTAATCCCACGRTCGGGGGGAAAGTTCCAGCCCTGAGCTGCCGTGCTCAGGTTAATCATCCCTGCAGGGCTCCAGGTCTGACCTCTCCCACATGCTGATACCTCACTCCTCGTGTGCCTCCCTTCCCCTGGGCTGGAGTGGAGAAACAGGCACGGGCATTTCTGGTGTTCAGCTGGTCAGGAATTCAGCTTGAGGTTCAGTTTCTGCAAAAAGGGCCAGGAAATTCACCTCAGAGCAGCACTTACGAAAATCTCTCACCCGAAGGTGCCTGGGTTGTGTGGGGTTTGGGGCCTCGGGAGCAGCTCAAGCTTGGCCTTGCTCCAGCTGCATTCCCAGCCTGGTCCTGTACCCGGGCTAGTCCAGGTATGCACGAGGCGGCCTCAGGGCTGCTGATGGTGCTGATTGGCAGGTAGGTAATAGAGAGCACCAGAAGATGGACTTTTCTGGATTTTGAACTGATTAATTCTGCACCCCCTCCCTGTGCCTCAGTTTCCCCATCCCTAGAATAACAGTGGTGATGCTGAGCTGCTCCCAAGAGTCCCTGAGTTTACAGCTGTGTGAAGTGATGGTCCCAGAGCACATAAACACGCTCTGGCACTTTGGGATAAATCTTCCAGTTGCTTSTATCCCCTTCCTGGGAGCCCTGAGGCACGATAAGCAGGTTATGGAGCTGTGCTGTGCCTGTCTCCTACAAAAACCCCACCGGAGTCGCAGCATCACCCGCATGCTGGGGCTCCCAGCAGAGCCACCTCCTCCACAGAGCCCCCCCAAATCCTGCCCCATGTTCGCCTTATGCTCCTGGCTTGGATTGAACAGGAAACCTGTTGTTTATTGATCCAGCAATCCACGAAAATGCCTTCATCGTGTTCATCACATCGGCCCTGGGCCACATGCTGCTCACCTGCATCCTCTGGAGAATGACTAAGAAACACACAGTAAGTCCCGAGGTACAGACACTTTCCTTTCTTCTCTCTATGCTGGGAGCTGGGATGGGGCTCTGGGCTGGCACTGGGGAGCATTGGCTGCCCTTGCTTCTGAAATAACCCTGAGCAGGTGCTAAAGGAGCCAACAACAGCAGGTGAAACTGAGAAACAATGACCAAAATCCATTGTTTACCAAAGCAAACTGGGGAGGCAGCTTTGCATTTCCTATGTTCTGGTTTTATCACAGAATCACAAAATGGTTTTGGTTGGAAGTGACCTCAAAGCCCATCCAGTTCTACCCCCTGCCATGGCAGGGACACCTCCCACTGTCCCAGGCYGCTCCCAGCCCCAATGTCCAGCCTGGCCTTGGGTACTCAAAGGGATCCAGGGGCAGCCACAGCTTCTCTGGGCACCCTGTGCCAGAGTCTGCCCACCCTCCCAGGGAAGGATTTCATCCCCATATCTGATGAAGTTTTCATTGAGGGTTGATATTGAAAACCACTATGAACATCCCTGTTGATTGGGATTGCTCATCCCTTCTCYGTGCCTGTTTCTAAGCTGAAGTTGGCTTCCTTGTGCTGGGAATTGCTGGTGCTTCAAGCTGGAAGCAGCAGGCAGCAGAAGTTGTTCTCCCTTTCCTACAGAATGACTCTGTGGAGCAGRCTGGCTCTGCCTCTCTTTCTGGGGAGGGGTCAGGGGGTGCAGSGGTCCAGTGGAGGATCCAGCCAGGGAGTCCTGGCTCCATTGCCTGGGTGCAGCTTGCGTGCTATGCTGSTTTGTGGGGTGAGTCCTGGACTGCAGGCAGGACATCCTGGTTTGTTCTGGGTTATAGGACAGGTGGGCAAGAAATTGAGCTTTGTCCTGGACTGTGGGCACTGACAGCCACAGACAGGGCAGGACATCCTGAGGCTGTGTGAGACCTGCTTCTGTGCCCACGTGGCTCTTGCCACTTGGCTTCACCTGTGGATCTGGGCTCTATGGACCACTCTGTCCTTTCCCCTCGGGGTACTCTTTTGCAGCTGATCCCAGTCCAGCCCTCATGGTCCCAGTGTTAAATGGGGAGGGGTCGCAGGGCTGTGTTGCCCCAGGAAGGTGACAGTTTGCAAAGCAGAGCCCTTTGGAGGTTTGTGCCTGTAGCACAGGGCTGGAGGGTTGTGAGGGATGGCCAAGGCTGTCCCAAGGGATTATGTGCAGGGCTGCAGGGTGGGTGCTGTGCTCAGGGTCCGTGTCCCAGCAGGAGCAGTGCTGAAGGGCTCAGCTCTGGCAGTCCAGAGCACCTCCTGCTCCAGCAGCGCTGTTTATCCTGCCCTTCCGACAATTCTCTGAGCCTAGCTCCAGCTGCCTGACTCCAGAGACCYGGAAAAGAAGCTTCCAGCAGTTGTTTGGCTGTAAGATTCCTTAGGAAAGGGATTTCTGAAGATGCTGGGGCTCTCCTCGCTTGCTGGGAAGTGCTCTGTTCCCTCTGGTGATATGGGAATAGCAGGAGCTCACAGTCATTCCTTGGCAGCCTTCCCACAGCTTCCTTTATTTATGTCATATTGTTTTGGCTTGTCTTTTTCCTGGGTGAGACCTCCAAAGCTCTGGATTTCCTCCCCTGTCACATCACCCGCTGGGTTGGTTCGTCTCCCCTGCACTGGGCAGGGGTGAGACATCCCAAATCCTGGGCTCATCTTTGAGTCATTCAGGGCAAGAGAGACATCGGGGGCCTGGAGCATGTCCAGGGAAGGGAATAGAACTGGGGAGTGTCTATAGGGGCTGAGCCTGGAGCAAAGGAGGCTCTGGGGGGACCTTGTGGCTCTGCACAACTCCCTGACAGGAGGGGGCAGCCGGGGGGGTCGGGCTCTGCTCCCAGGGAACAGGGACAGGAGGAGAGGGAACGGCCTCAGGCTGGGCCAGGGGAGGCTCAGGGTGGAGATTGGGAGAATTCCTTCCCGGGTAGGGCTGTCCAGCCATGGCACAGCTGCCCAGGGCATTGGTGGCAGGGGGAGGGATTTCGGAGCCCTGTGGATGTGGCACTAGGGAACATGGGTTAGGGGTGGCCTTGACAGTGCTGGGGAACAGTTGGACTCAGTGGTCTCAGAGGGATTTTCCAGCCTCAGTGGTTCTGTGACTTGACCCGGGGAGTGGAGGAATGTGCACATCTGTGGTGGGGAGGGCAGGGGACATGGTGACACCTTGGCTGAACGTGCCACCACCCGGTTGCCTCCTCCCACCGGGTACAGTGCCGCCACCTGGCTGCCTCCTCCCACCCTGGAACAACACTGCTAGTGGAGGGGAGCAGCCCTCGGGTGTGCGTGATCCCCTTAAAACTGGGGCTTTCCTCAGGGAGAGAGGAACCCGCCAGGGCCWGCCCTGACCTAAGGCCACCAGGGGTGCGGTGTCCCTGCGCCAGCTTCGTACGGAGCCACAGGATGGAGCTGTCACCCAGGGCTTGAGGGTGACAGGTGAGGGAGGAGGAGAAGGAAGGCGCTGTGGGGTGAGGCAGTCCCAGAGCTGTGCTGTGTGGGGTGAGGAGGGCGCAGTGCTTGTCACACCACCAGGCGTCATCTTTGGCTCGGGGTGTTCTCGGCACTGCAGCTGCCGTGTCCAGTGATGTGYGCTGGGCTCCTGCCGCCAGTCATTCCCACGGGCCAAGGGGGATCTCCTGGGGCTTGTCCCCCTCTCTGTCTGGATTCCTCAGGCTCCAAGTCCTCCACTGACAGCTGGTGGTTCCTGTAGAGCTTGGTGTGGCTCCTGTAACACCCGCGGCTTGCTTGACTCAGCAGGGCAGGACAGCAGGACACGGGTGGTGCTGCTGCCACATCCTTAGCCCATACAAGGGCTTGGGCAGTGCCAGGGAGCAGCACAGCCACACTGGTGGGGCTGTTTTAGGCCAGGGCACAGCTGATCCCTCCACCACCTTGGGACAGATTCAGGTTCCGTTTGTGTCCCTTGAGGAAACCTTTGTTCACGTTTGCTGCCCCCAGCCCTGGAGCTGGTGGTGGCAGGAGGGGACGGGTGAGGGATGGCTCTGTTCCCACCGTGTTCCATTCTTCTGTCCTCCTCAATGGTCCCCATAGGGGTTCAGGATCTCCAAGGGCATACCTGGGACCATCTCCAGGACAAACTCCACGTGAGGAGCTGCAAAGCTGAATCCATGTGCAAGAGGGAACAGGGGGCTGTGCCTTCCCAACCCCAGGTCTGGCAGCATGTGAGGGACAGGAGTTGCTCATGAGGGACAGGAACTGGTCTTGCCCAAGCTTCTCGTCCRGCAGGGCTCCTGTTGCAACTGCTGTTCTGCGAGGGCAGGAAGGTGTGGAGGAACTGGTTTGTAATGGGGAAGTACGGGCGGTTTCCAGTTACGAGGTGGTAAATGGTGAGAGAAAGAAAAATAAAGCTCTGCAGGAGGAGAGAGAAGGGAAAGGAGGGGAAGGGACAAAGCAGAGGAGAGAGATTGTGTGGAAAAGGGAGATGGAGCCTGGGAGCCTCCAGCTGTGGCTGATCCTGTGCTTGGTRCTTGGCCGTGGCATGGCAGTGCCCACCTGGGCTGGCAGCTCTGCTGTTCCTGGCTGGCTGCTCACCCTTAAAACCCTCCTTCTCCCCAGCCCTGAGCTGCAGAACTGGGCAGTGGGGCAGAGCACTTTCACTTCTTGTTTGCAAACACATTTCTCCCTCCACTCWGGGCTGGTGGCCACAGCAGACACCAGTGTGTGCATGGGGTGGCCACCAGGCCAGCTGGCTCAGGCTCATCAGAGGAGGCCACGGAGATGCTCTGGGGGCTGGAGCTCTGGAGCCAGGCTGGGAGAGCTGYGGGTGCTCACCTGGGGAAGGGAAGGATCCAGGGAGAGCTCAGAGCCTCTGCCAGGGCCTGAAGGAGCTCCAGGAGAGCTGGAAAGGGACTGGGGACAAGGGCTGGAGGGACAGGAGCCARGGAATGGCTTCCCAGTGCCAGAGGGCAGGRCCAGATGGGATATTGGGCMGGAATTGTTCCCTGGGAGGGTGAGCAGGCCCTGGCACAGGGTGCCCAGAGAAGYTGTGGCTGCCCCTGGATCCCTTTGAGTGCCCAAGGCCAGGTTGGACATTGGAGCTGGGAGCAGCCTGRGACAGTGGGAGGTGTCCCTGCCATGGCAGGGGTGGCACTGGATGGATTTAAGATCACTTCCAGCCCAACCCCTCTTGTGGCCGGTGGATTTGGATCCTGCCATGCCAGCAGTTCTGGGCTCAGTCCCACAAAGTCCCGCTCCCCTGGCATCRGCAGGGCACACAGCCTGAGCCCAGGCTGCCACCATGGCGAAGGCAGAGGTGCCAGTGGGGCACAGCCCCTCCCCGTGTCCCCTGGGCCAGCTGGGCCCTCGGAGCTGGAGCAGGGTGGCCGAGCTGTGTCCCTGCCCTGCAGAGCTGTGTGAGCAGCGGGTACCACAAGCGTCTTGGTGATCAYGCGTGGTTTCACCCCAGCTCCTCGCAGCTCAGACGAGCCCTCTATAAACAGCTGAGCGCTGACTCGGGCACTTTGGTTTCAGGCTCTCCTCAGGGACCTGGAAACACTTGAGGGGAGCTGGGGCTGGTGTGTGACACGGAGCCCTGCAGGTCCCCCAGAAAGAGATGATGGCTCCAGGGCAGAACCAGTGCTTGGGAGGTCCTTGCACAGCGAGCTGTTTTCTTCGAGTTAAGATCACTGTCATCCCGGTCCCCATCAGGACCTGGGGTGTGGGCTGGATCCTCCTCCTCGCTGTCTGGAGGCTGTGGAAGAAGCGGGAGGCTTGTGTGCCTCCTTGCTGGTGGCTCACAGCAGCCCCCCTCAGCCCTCAGAGCTGCGTTTGCAGGGCTTGGGGCTGCCCCAGGATGGGGGAAGGAGACCCCAATGCCTTCCATGGGCTGGGAGCAGCCTCCCCGAGTGCCCCTTCCCCAGTGTGCCCCCTTCCCGAGTGCCCCCTCCCYGGGCGTGCCCCCTCCCCGAGTGTGCCCTCTCCCCGTGCCCGCTGCTGTAGCGTTCTCCTCCTACTCCTGCCTCACCTGTGCGTGCCGGGCAGTGTGCCTCAGCTCCCACCGCCAGCTGGGCATTAAATATAATTCCCCTGTGGTTTTCTGGGCTAGACACGCGTCCAGCCACAGCGGACCGGGGTGGCTGTGGGACACCGGGGGGGCGGGCAGAAGCCGCCGGTGCCCTGCTCTGTCCTGCCAGGAGGAAATTGCGCAGCCGGGCTTGGCAGCCCCAGCCAGGCCACAGGGGAGCCTTGCACCGGCTCAGCTTGGAGCACCCCGTCCTTGGGATTTTCTTATCCTGGCCTCCTGCCAGGCACTGACCTGGAGGGGCTCCTGGTCCTGTCCAGGCTCAGCAATCCCAGTTCTCCCAGTCTTTGCTCAAAGCAGATGTGCCCCATCCCTCTAATCTTGGCGCCCTCCTCTGCACCACCATCTGGCTCCCTGGGACGTCCCCCGATGGGGGATTCCCRCAAATCTGGGGCCGTGGGGAGCAGGGACAGTGGCACTGCCTGAGCCGTGAGCAGGGCAGTGGCTCCAGCCCACCCCAGCAAGGGACGGGCAGCTCCTCTGCACCCAGCAGTCCTTCAGCTGTCACCATGATCCCCAAGTGCAGGCTGGCCCTCTCCTTCCTCCTGCAGCAGGCCAGGGTAGCATTCCCGCTCCCACATCCCGCCCTGTCCCCCTGCTCCCGCAGGGACCCTCCCTGAGGTGCCTCCTTCCGAGCCAGCGCTCAGCATCGTGGCGTGTCACCATGTGCCACCTCCCGACCGCCCTGGGGACCCTGCCCTGTGATCCCCGGGCACTGGGCTGGCCAGCCGTGCCCTGGATTAGGGATTAACACCTAATTATCCAGGTGATAATCCTCGGCCCAGACTGGGAGAAGGGAGCTCAGAGGGCGCCCAAAGGTGCGGGGTCACTGTGGTGAGTCCGGGATGGCCACTCCTACAAGGACAGCTCAGGGTACTGCTGGAGGACCAGGGGGTGGAACTGGATGAGCTTTAAGGTCCCGTCCGACCCAAACTATTGTGTGACCCGGTGATCCCGGGAGGTTCGGCCGCCTGGCAGCCCCAGCAGATCCCTGGACCCCTGGGAGGGCTGCGTGGGTGCGGTGAGGCCGTGCCGGGGCCTCAGAGCGCAGCCGTTGGCGCTGCCGTGGGAGCGGTGACAGCGCGGCTGTTTGTGCGCCGCTTTTCCGGTGTGAAACTCGGCATCGCGCCCGGGCCCCGTGCGGGCTGCACTGCCGGTGGCACCGCTGCTGGGCACACCCCGAGCTGCTGCTGGCCACGGGGACCCTCGGCATGCCAGGAACGACCTGCCCGTGTGGAGGCGGTGCRCTGTTCCCATGCGGTGAAGCGTCCCGAATCTGTCCTTCCTCTCTGGGCTTTCCTCCTTGGCTGAGCCCCTGGCACGCATTCCGGGGGCTAATGGAAAGTGTGATGTGGCAATTTAAATTTTCCCTTATTATCAGCACTCCCTCAAAATGGAATTTTTGTCTCACATTAAGCGTCAGACGAGGAGGAAATTCCCCTCCCACCCGTAACAGCCTGGGCTGTCTGTGGCATCCCCAGCCCCTTGTGTGGGTCTGACCCCCCCTTGCACCCCCCTGCTCCAGGGCTCTCCTGCACCCTCCTTGGGCTCCAGACATGATTTGGGGTTCCTCTGCCCCCAGGGCTGTAGGATCCTTATCCAAGACCCTCAGTGTGATGGGGGAAATAGAGGAAGGGGACTGGAGCCTGTACCTGCAGTGGCTCCCAGGGGTCACTGCACCCACAGCCCCCAGCTTTGGGGGAGCCCATCGTGGGGGATAGGCCTGGCCCCAGGTTGTGCCTGTCGTGGAGGCTCTGGGGCACAAGGCATGCCCTGGGTGCTGCTGGCAGCATCCCCGTGCTCTGTTTCCACCCCATCAGCAGCAGTGCTGGGGGCAGGATGGGGCCTCTCCAGTGCCAGGGCACCTTGGGTGAGGTCTGCAGTGCCCGCCCCAGCTGCTGCCCCTTCATGTGGTTTCCTCCTCCCTGCTGCTGCTGTGGGTGAGGGGGCGCAGCACCCGGTGAATTCCCCGTGCCCTGGGGCCACCTGTTGCCCCCAGGCCATGGGATCTGCCTCTGGTGGAGCCATTGGCCCATCCTTGGGGAGCCCCCTGTGCACCTCAGCACCGGGGGGTTCCTGCTCCCGGGACCCCCACGTTTGCTGGGATCCCGTGGGTCCCTCACTCCCTGTGTATCYGCGTCGGTGTGAGCCCCATGTGCCCACGGGCACAACCCTGCCAAAGCCACCCCTGGTCCTGGCCTGGGGCACTCTGCACAAGGAGTCGGGGTGCAGAGAGACCCCCGGGGCTCTGTGAGGCGGAGCAGAGCTTCCCTGGGGCAGGATGAGGTGGATGGGGTGGGATGGGGATGGGGATAGGGATGGGGATGGGGATGGGGATGGTTGCTCYGGCATCAMCCAGCCCTTGGCCTCTTCCAGGAGCGTAAGTCCTACAAGTGGAAGCAGCTGCTCTTCTTCTTCACCTTCATCACGTTTGCGTTCGCTGTGTGCGTTTACTTCCACCACAACTGGTACTGCGGCCCTGGAGGTGAGGGGGCTGCCGGGGGGGTGCATGTGGGGAAGGGGCTGGGGTGCTCACAGAATCACTGAATCCCAGGATCATTAAGATTACAAAAGATCCCCAGGATCAGCAAGTCCCAGATGTGCCCAATGCCCACCTTGTCCCCAGCCCAGAGCACTCAGTGCCACCTCCAGCCCTTCTTGGGACACCTCCAGGGATGGGGACTCCAAAGCTTCCTGGGCAGCCCCTGCCAAGGCCTGAGCACCCCTCCTGTGAAAAAATCCTTCTGATGTCCCAGAATTCTTYCTGGTGTCCAGTGTCCTCCTAATGTGATGCTTTGCCTTCCACATCCCAGCCCAGGGCAGCTCCAGGTGCCCAGCCTTCTTCTCTGGTGGGAGTCAAGCCCCCCAGCCYGTGCCCTGCTGCCCCAAACAGGTGACCCAGAGACCCCCCAGCTCCCAGGCAGATCCAGCTGTGAGTCYCCCTCACCTGCTGGCTTTCCTCCCCCAGTGTACACCGTCTTCGCCTTCCTGGAGTACCTGGTTGTCCTCTCCAACATGGCCTTCCACATGACTGCCTTCTGGGACTTCGGCAACAAGGAGCTGGTGGTGAGCTCGCTGCTGGAGGACAAGCACTTCTAGGCAGCTGTAGTGCCGGAGGGCTGCTCTTCCTGGGGGAGACAGAGCCCCTTCCCTGTCCTTCTGAGGCCGGGCTGTTTGCTGTGGACCTGCTGTGAGGATCATCCCAGGATCACCCGAGGGTCCAGGGCCCTGCGAGTGTTTGTCCCCAGCCACGCCTGCAGCTTTTGTCCAGGGGAGCTGGGGGCTCTTCCCAGGGACCCGCTGTGCTGGCTCCCTGCCAGCTCCAGGAGGGCARGGCAGAAGAGGGGCAGGGTCCTGCTGTCTGTTTCTTTAGAGAATGCTCTGGGCAGAGCAGGATTCTGCTTCCAGTATTGGGGCACCACGGAGCTGGCCCTGCCCTGCCCTTGCCTGTCCAGGGGGGTCTTGTGATTCCTCCTTGAGGCTGCGGTCCTGAGGCAAGTCCTCAAAAAGGGCTGGTGGCCTTTTGGGCCAGCTCCAGGYATTGCTGTCCCATTGGACTGAGGCAGGGTCCTGGCCCATGCGTGCCTGAGATCCCGGGAGGGGAGCAGGAGGGTGCTGGCCTGTGCAAGGACTGCCCAGAGCAAGGTGGGGACACGGGGCAGAGCAGATGCTGGGAGCATCCACATCTCCCTCCTGCCTTTCCCAGAAGCCCCGCAGCAGCACAGGCTGCTCCCAGGGGGGCTGTGCCCATTCTAGCCTGGTTTGGGGTAAGGGGAGGACGGGCAAATTTGCTGGTGCTGGAGGTCTTTGCTCCAATGTCCCCGTGGATTCCCCTGTGCCATGGGGCTGCAGCTGGGAACTGCTGGATTCCAGCAGTGCCCCTCATGTGCAGCTCTGGCTGCCAGGGCACAGGGGACACGGCTGGGCTKGTGGTGTCCCCAGGCTCCTCAGGCAGTGCTGCTGGAAGGGGCCCCTGGAGCTGTCTGGATTTTGGGGAGCTCTGTGCTTGCCAGGGCTCATCCCACCCCACGCCCTGCCCTTCACGTGAGCGCAGCCACCACTGAGAGTCCCTTGGGATATCCCCTTTGTTTCTGGGGCTGGGCAGGGCAGGTCCTGCCGTGCGTGTCCATCGTCGGTGTCCCCATCCACGGGCTCCATCCATGTCCCTGCATGCGTGTGACGCGCTGTCTCCGCAGCGCCTTGGCTTTGAGGTGGAAATAAAGCACTGAGTATTTTTGTGAGCTCTCTGCAAACTGCACAGCATTTCCACCTGGCACAGCCTGGCAGGGCCCTGGAACATCCCTGGTGCAGCCAGCGGGCACAGCCCAGCACCCTGGGCAGGGCAGGGACTGGAATGGGGTGCAGGACATGGACCCCAGGCACTGGGGCTAGAGTGTGGTATGTGGATCCTGGATGGTGGAGCTGCAGCTCAGGATGCAGACCCCTGGGTGCTGGGGTGCAGGATGTGGATGGCTGGGGTGCAGGATATGGATGGGTGAGGTTCAGAATGTGGATGTCTGGGGTGTGCGTTCAGGATCATGGCTGCTGGGGCTGGGGTGTGGGATGTGGATGGCTGGGGTATGGGTTCTGGACCCTGGCTTTTGGGGCTGGGCTGTGTGATGTGGCCTGGGAAGGTTCAGCGAGGCTGAGAACCAGCCAAGAGCTGGGCTGGAGGCATGAGACTGAGCCCACCCCACAGCTGGCGGCCCCGCTCCCCACCCAGCCCCGGGGGCCGCTGACTTGGCTGTGGATCCCATGGATGCTGCAGGGGCAGGGCCAGAACAGAGCCAGGAGCCAGGGACAGAGCCAGGAGCCAGGAGGGCTGGGGCTGGCACTGCTGGGGCTGGGCAGGGGAGCTGCCGGGGGCTTGGTTCCCCCTGTCCYGGGCCAGGGGCTCTGCTAGGCCCATGCTGGGGCCCTGCTCTCATTGCAGCCGTCCCGAGATCAGCTGGGAGGGGAAGAGCCATGAGCTCATCCTGCTGTGCTGGGGCCAGGGCAGGGCTGTGTCCCACTCATGGCATCACAGGGTCCCCTCCTCATCCCAGCACCCCCTYCTCCACCAAACCCCACGGGGATAGCACCTCCCAGCCCCACAGAGGGAGCAGGACACAGCCGTGGGATTCCCATGGTGGGAGCAGGACATGGCTGTGGGATCCCCATATGGCTGTGGGATCCCCACGGTGGGAGCAGGATTTGGTGCAGCTGGACCCCACAAGCCCGTTGTTGTGCAGCCCTGTCCCTCTACTGTGCAGCCCCCACAGGGCCGTGTCCCCTGGCTGTGGGCTCCCAGGGTGGGGGCTGTAGGGGCCGCGATTTGCACCGGCCCCACGAGGCTCCACGGGGCATGGCCATGGGACAGGGCCAGGAYGGACAGTRGCCRGAGCCCTCGGCCCCACTGCCCACGCCTGCCCCCGGCTCCGGCTGGGCAGCGGGAGCAGGGAACAAAGGCGGCTTGTGGCGGGCGCCGGGTCTCTGCCCTTCCTGCAGGAAGGCCCCGGGGCCGGACAAGGGGCCCATGTCCGGATCCGGCCGCCCGCCAGCACGTGCCGGGGGGGCCGAGGGGGTGGCGAAAGCGGCTGGGGATGCCACCGCTCCCTTGCTGCTGCCATTGCCAGCCACAGGACACGGGGATCCCCAGGACACCCCCAGGCAGGGGGACACGGGGCTTTGCCCTYCACCTGCCACTCCAGAGGCAGCACTGGAGCCGGGCTGGGGAGGGACTCCCCAGGTGGGGACCCCACTTGTGCCAGTGCCTGCCATGTCCCAATCCCCACCCAGCGCAATGGCCCCATGGCCACTTCCTGCAGTGTCCCCTTTGCTGCCCCTTACAATGTCCCCAAGCCCCCAGGCAGGAGATCAGCTGGGCACAGGGATGGTGCCTTGGCAGGCACTAGAGCACCCTGATGAGGGGTCTCAGGCCAGTGATACCCACGTCCCTGCAGGGAGTGTCCCTGTGCCCAGGGGAGTTGGCCATGGGCAGGAGACCACAGGACACGGTGGGCCTGGGCAGGTTTTTATTTAAGGAGAAGCAGCTCTGGGGGCAGCTGGTTACAGGCRAGTCACACTGCCCTGCAGAGCTACAGCACCGGCCAGGGCAGGAACTCTGCTCCGGCCACGCCGGCTCCACTCTCAGCAGGGGTGGACATCACCCTAAACACCCTCCAGGAGCCCCAGGCACTGCTGCCAGGATCCCGGGGCAGGACGGGGCCATGCCAGCGAGATGCTCCTGGGTGGGCGAGCACCAGGGCTGGCACAGAGGGCCTGGGGACCTCTCATGCCCCAGCTGGCACAGAGGGTGGGGCTGGCAGGACCCCATGGGGGACTGGGGTTGGGGTGGCAGGTCCTCGTGGGTCACTCAGGGCTGGAGTGGGGTTTGCCTGCCCCAGCCATTCCCTTCTCAGGAAGCGTCACTGTGCGGGACCAGAGAGACGTCATGGAAAGCGAACRCTGACAGGCGGGGCGGGGGCGAGGGAGCCCCGGTGCCCCCAGGGCGGGCGGCCAGTTAGTGCAAACAAGGTCTGTATTATTAAAGCTGGAGGCTCTGGGCTGGCGGCCCTGCTCCCACCAAGGCTCAGGGAGGCACTGGGATGGGTGGTGGGCCGAAGGCGGTTGGGGGGCAGCAGGGCCGGGGCAGGGGCAGGGGCAGGATCGTCTCTCGGCAGCCCGGTCACAAGAGCATGCAGGGCTTCTTGGGCTTGGCCGGGACGGGGTTGAGCACGGCCCTCACAGCCTCAGTGAACACATCCTTGATGCCCTCCTGGTTGAGTGCCGAGCACTCCAGGTACTTGACGGCGCGGATCTGCTTGGACAGGCTGATGCCCTGCTGGGTGGTGATGGGCGCCTGGTTCTGCTCCTTGAGCCGCTTCATGGTGTCGGGGTTGTTCCTCAGATCCTTCTTGGTGCCGACGAGGAGGATGGGCACGCTGGGGCAGTGATGGCACACCTCGGGGTACCACTTGTGCTTGACATTCTCGTAGGAGGGCGGGCTGGCGATGGAGAAGCAGATGATGAAGACGTTGGTCTGGGGGTAGGAAAGCGTCCGCAGGCGGTCGTACTCCTCCTGGCCGGCTGTGTCCCACAGGTTTAGGTTAATAGTCCTGCCATCCACCGTGTTCTGGGCACTGTAGTTGTCGAACACGGTGGGGATGTACTCCTTGGGGAAGGCGTTGGTGGTGTAGCAGATGAGCAGGCAGGTTTTTCCCACCGCCCCATCACCCACCACCACGCACTTGATGCTCTGCATCCTGGTGGCCCTGGGGTCCCCTTCAGCAGCCTGTGGGAAGGGAGAGGCTCAGGGAGGGGACACTGCAGTGCTGGGTCACCATGCTCCCCCCACTCCCACACCCTSAGGCCAGAGGCTGCACAGGAGTCACAGCCCCTTGGTTCCCTGTCCAACCCACAGCTCAGATGAGCTTCCCAGGCAGGCACATCCCCCTGACAGAAACCCCTCCACGGGAACCTGCCTGCCATGACCGAGGGACAACACATGTGCCGCCATGGCTGGTGTGCCTGTGACAGCCAGGTGCAGCCCAGGGTGCTGCATCTGTGGCAGCCARGCTGTGGCAGCATCCTGTGCCATCCCTGGCCGTTCCATGCCATTCCATGCCTCTAGCCTGGAATGGGATAGTGCCACTGGGCTGTGGCAGCCTGTGGGCTGTCACGGTTTGTCCCAGCGCCGATGCTGCCCGTGCTGTGGATGCAGTGCGGCTGCTGGCGTGGCCCCTGGAGCCGATGTCCACTCCRGCAGCCGTGTTTATCCCCGTTCCCGGCACGGGTTTTCCTTCCTCAGATTCCCTCTGTGATTCCCATTACGGGCCACATCCTGTTCCCCTTCCTGCTGGCTGGAGCTGAGCGCTGGCTGGAGCCAAGCGCTGCCGAGCCCTGCCCGGCTGAGGCAGGGGCACCCACCCTGGGGCTGCCGGCCCCTTTCCCGCCGGGATCCAGCCGTGGGCAGCGGGGGTGCTCCCCATGGGATCCCAACGGGAGGATGGCAGCCCCGCTCAGAGCGACAGGCAGGGAGCAGAGGTGCCACGAGGGAGAAGCCACAGTGTCCAGGAGCCCTGGGCTAGGGGTCCCTGTTCCCCAGAGCCCCCTAGGGCTGCAGGGCTTGGGAAGGGGGAAGGGACCGAGCCCCCCGCCCTGAGCCCCTGCMGGTCCCTGCCCCCTCGGATGGGGAAGTCGCTCTTCCTCTTCCCGCCCTGACACGCGGCTTCCTGYGGCCGAGGCTGTGCCGTGACCCCCGCCCTGCCTGGCTGTGCCGTGACCCCTGGGACCGGCGCACGGGGGCTGCCAGGAACGCCCCGCGGTGCTGTGCCTCAGCTTCCCCACTGCAAACGTGCTCCCACGGGCAGCAGATGCCCCGACCCTTGGCGTGTGAACGGGGAGCAGCGGGGCCGGCGAGGCGGGCCCCATCCCCACYCCCGCAGGAAGCCGCTTGCAGGGTCCCAGGGGGCCACAGACGCAGTCCCGGCCTTTGGCCTCCAGTTCGGGAACGGACACAGCCTGGAGGTTTCCTCACACCAGTTTGCACCAGTGCCGTGCCCCAGGGTTAGGCTGGGGGGGCTCAGCCCAGGGCAGGCACGGGCAGAGAGACCCTGGGGGGCTGYGGGGCTCAGAAGGGCAAGAGGCTGGGGCGGTGTGAGAAGGGACAGAGGGGTGAAAACGGGATCAGGATCGGGGGAGCCGGAGGAGAGTGACGGGGATGTGATCTGAATTGAGACAGGGAGAGCAGGATCAAGGAGAGCAGAACAGTGGGGGAAGGAAGTGGATCAGGATGATGGGGGACCAGGATCAGGGAGATGGGGATCAGGGAGACCAGGATCAGGGCTGTGGGAGGAACAGGATCAGGGGGACCAGCATCAGGGCTCTGGGACAGTGAGGTCCCTCCGTGGCTGCACAGGGTCCCTCCAGGGACGTGCACCTTCCTCAGGGGCTGTCACTGCCGTCCACATCCCCTGTGCCCCTTCTGTCCTGCAGCTACCTCATCCCTGCCCAGAGCTCCCAGGGCTGGGGGTATCCCAGGGCAGCCTGCAGTGGGACATGGCTGCCCCTGACACCCCAAGGCCCCATTTGGCCCAGTCTGGGCCAGTCCAGACCCAAAGTTGCCCTGAGCACCAGCCTGGGCCTGTGTCGGTCCCACAGTGGGACATGGCACGCACTGGTCAYGCCAAGCCCAAACCCTGCACCCCCAAACTGGCCATGGGCACCCCGGGATGAGCAGGAAACATCCCCATCTTTATAC